TTATACGTTTACGTGCCCTGCGTATGTTCATATGTTGTTACTTGTTGTTGTTGTTGTTGTTGTTGTGGTGGTGGTGGTGGTAGTTGTATCGGCGATGTTGTGTCGTATAATATACCGTGTGCTCCAACCGCTGTAATTCTATCCCCTCGATCGGAACATATAGAGGAATCCGTAGAAAAACGAATCGCCCTACACGATTAATATACCTTCGTTGCACGGGCCCATTCGGTTTTGGCCGTCGTCCGGCACACGTCACGCTAAATAATATTAATTACTGTCGTCGTCACCTCCTCTTTCGACGCCGGTGTTGTCTGTGCGGCGTGAAAACAATGGTTTTCAGTTACCCTGTGGTCGTGTGCACGTTGGTGGCGATTGTAGTCGGTGGATGCCACGCGGGAGTAAGTATATARCAATAGGAATCAAWAATTATTGAATTCAGTATTTTATTTGAGGAGAGAACGAACGTTACAAAAGTGTACTTGWGCGTATCAGAACTATCTATATTGGTGCGAACGATATCTYGCTTCGCCGGAAATAGACAGACAGGTATGTTACACTTTCGTCGGGATGTAACCCTTCCTAGGTTAGGTCCAAGTCAAGGCATTTAAAAATTTCAAGTTACTCGCATCATTTTTCCTAGGAAAAAATTATAGAAGGAACCCTCTTCTAATTGATTTGATGATGATTTACGATGACTTGTTACCTCGTTGGTCACAATCACAAATATCTGCGAGACGCCGAGTATATATATATATATATATACAGCTCACTCACTAGTCACTACCCACGACGTTTCCACTTTAAGGTTATCGGAGTATTCGACGCATTTTTAGTGCGAAAACTCTAACCTCGCGAGAAATAGTCCTAGAAAACCTACCTGGGAAACTGCAGGTAGGTTGCGTTGGCCATTTTGGGAAAATCTATTCAAAGTGTGGTCTGTTTGGACGAGTGTTTATTTTCCCAAAAATATCGTTGGGGTGAATATAAGAGTATTATAGATTTATAGGTCTATTAATTTACAATATATATTTTAATATAAATTGTCAATTACAGAAAAAATAAAATGAAATAATAACACATACAATATACATAATTGATAATCAATAATGAACTCTATAACTTAAAAAATATATTGCCATATGAATGACATTGTATAATAGTTATGTACTAATGAACATCCTGAAGTCAAAAATTAATAAAATAGAATCACGTACAATATATATAATATATATAATTTATCATCTAACTTAAAATATACATATATTGGTATAGTAGTATTGTAATATAGTATAATGTATAGTGAAAAACTGCAGTAAAATAAAACAACTTAAGCTTTAAAATTATATTTGAGCAGGTGAATATAATTTCAATCWCCCAAACAGTAAAAATGAATAGCCAATCGAACTATTCAT